CTCCCATTCGATCTCTTTCGTTGGATACGGTCTATAAACCGCAACCAACACCGTCATCGCGACGAGTCTTCTTTGAATCATATTGTACAATGAGATTTGAATAGAGAACAGAGGAGGGAGAAGGAGAGCAGAGCCCCATTGTCGTTTCACCAATGGCGGCCGATTTTATAGTGATCTAATGTACAGATGTTATTTACCCCGCAATGAGAATAGAATAAAAGCATTGTGCGCATTATGATTTGAATCCCGTATCTCGCTACGTTTCTATACCTACCCTCCTACCTACCTACCTACCTACCTACTTACCCTTACCCTATCTAGCCCTAACACGCGTGATATATGTAATGTAGACGTGTACAAAAGTTGTTCACGTTTCCGAGCCTTTTGTTTAAGCTCGAAAAATACAAGTAACAACAAGTGATGTCTGCAGTTAGCTCCAACAAATACTACGATATATTATGGTTTATGAATGTACATATATGTATAAATCCACGAGATCATTCCTACAAGAAGGACGTACATGTATATGTATACAAGTAATAACAACGAGACTGAGGGAAGGACTTAATAAAAAAGATTCACAAAATCGTCAACGGGTCCATTGGTTTTTTTCTCTAGAATAAATCTGAAAGATCAAAAGGGTGAAAAACACGATTGTCCATCACGTACCAAATATATTTCATATTTTCCATACGCCCTTTTTACGGGCGGCTCGCTGAATTATTATCATGGGTATAAATAATTGTACTTGTCGCAAATCGTAACGTAATAACGCGTCACGCGCAATTTCCACTCGGTCAAATTATCCACATTGTAATTTAGCAATCGATGAAATTGAATACGTCTGCTGCGAGCATCATCGAGAGTGTCATATATATATATGTGTGTGTGCGTGCGTGTGTGTATGTGTATGTGTGTGTGTGTACGAGGAGGCATAAATACAATCGCGACGGGAAATGACTTTTTTCGATGACGCTCATGGGAAGAGCATTTTTCATTTGACGGCAAATTTGAGCAATAATAAAAAATGTATTCCAAATGGGAGAGAGTTCGTTGACGTCGGCGTATATCTATATACAGCACAGACACGGACCTTTTTTACTCTCGCACATCGGCCACTCAAAGTGAACGTACATGCCGATGGGAAAATCAATAAACCAATAGGTTCGCCAATACATGCCCGTTCATAAAGTATCATGCATGTACTTTTGTACATGCATCGTCCCGAAATCCGAAACGCAAAATCGGAGAAATCGTATAAAGTGAATGAAAATTATCCATCAAAAGTTGTTCACTTTCCTCCAGACTAGAAGATTAAGCCAATTAAGCTCCTGACGAAATCGATTTCAAGAATTGCAAAATTGTGATTGTAATTTTATAAAAAAGCAATTTGACAGTCAATACGTGCCATATTATATGTCTATAGCTACAATTAAGTCGCGCTCCTTTAGCATTTGATGAAAACTACCGTTAAATTTCGTTGTAAAATCTTTTTCCCACGAATTCTTGAATTCTTCGTACTCTTGAAATGTTTCCGAAAGTATCCGACTTATCTCATCTGCAGATTCAAGTCAAGTTACTTGGCGGAATATATATATATATATATAGGTATTGTTCGCCTACGCCCACTCGAGATTTCCCGCGGATCGTGTGCACCCTTGGATAAATAGCGCGATCGAGATCGAAATCGCGGCAATATAGCATCGAATTACGATGTTTGCAAACGTCGAATTCACCCCTGACACTGTACGGACGGTTGGTCGAATAACAGCCGCGATCGGAGATTAGATTAGATTTACGTGTCGCCACGTAAAAGCCTCGTATGGAAGAAAAGCGCAGGTAAGAAGTGCTTATATTATACATATATATGACGCGCGGACGCTTCGATCTTAAGAGCTTCCCTAGCTTTTATTGTCAGCGTACCGCCGCCGTAACAGTTATATAGATATATAATATGTAACCTGTTTGCTCGATAGATACGGTCGAGAGAGAATCTGAGAGATCACTTCAATATAAATTAAAAATTTTCATATAAATCCTATTAAAAATATGTCTTTTATACACAGTATAATGTATATACACGCGGTAAAATATTGTTGATACGTTTATAAATAAATTTTATTAGCCCGCTTAATTGAAGTTATTCAAAATATGTACAATATGGATTTTAAATCAAGCGACACGTTTAAGAAGATTGTAAGGCAAATGCAATATGTTAAGAATTACTTGAAAAAATTACAGATTATTCTAAATTGCATTTAAAAGTAATACAAAAAAATTAGAGACAGTTGACCATCTGGATAAAAAGTTATATTTCAATAAAAAGTAATATTTTTTAAATTTGTACTCTAATAGA